TTAAGCCCAGGCTGTGTCTGTGCATATAGAAAACATACAAATGTTAGGCAGTGACTGAACTTCAAATAACCCTCAACAAAGTTGATGACTGATACTGGCTGCTGCTATATATAAGCCAACCCCCAAACTTCTGAACCCCCAAGCATCTGAAACAGCCACTTCATTTTGTCATTTACTGACTTAGAAACATCACAACGAACCGAGCAGGCTGCCTGTGGGTTGGTGGTGGGTGAACTTCCCAAAATGGCTCCTTCACTAAGGCTTGGCAGCCTCATTAGTCCATGGTCAGCCTCTCTGTGCTCTCCCCCTACGCACGATGTCTCATCTAGACAAGGTCTCCATGTGCACATTAGATTTTATTTTGTCCTGGATGTTATTCTTTGTGAGAGTAGTTACTCAGCTCATGTGAGTGCAGGGTAGGTGGGGGGGGGGGTGCACAGATTTTACAATATCACAAATAGTAGTAGTAATAATCACAAAACGGTAATTTTTTATTGTCTAAGCAGGTGGTACAAAGGCGTGCACCACCACCACCTGGCTAAGATCTTACATTTTAATAGGAGGAATGGCAAAGAATTTGCTGCTATCTTTACTATATATAGGACAGGTAGAAAGTTCTAAAAACCACATAGACTTGGCAAACCCCCAAAGCACTTCCATACACAAAATTTCACCATGCTTAGTCCTCAGCAGTTTGTACAAGCACCAATTTTCTTAGAAAATAGGGTGTAATTACAAATATTGTGTGCAGCATTTTGACATTTAATGGTGATGATTATCAAAATTCTTCCCAGTTTTATTACTTCTTTGATTTGTATGTGTACTTTATGACCATTATTCTGAGTTGTGGGCAGCATGTACTACGCTTTTTATGGCACACTTCTATGATCTTAGGAGTGCTAAGAATAGTTTATTAATGCCCAGGGCATCATTGAGGCCTTCTTTAATACCTTTGATTTACTAAAGTCACAAAAGTTCTGCTAGCTTGTTTTATGGATATGACTTTAGCCATATGGTAAAGCACAGTTTGGTACAGGTGTTCTTCATGTCTGGTCCACTAACATCTAAGAAATTCAACTCTGGGGTCACAGAGAAAAGGAGCAAGGAAACCTAATAAAACCCACATGCTAACCATTAATGTTCATTTACCAAAGCTTGCTTAAACTCTTGTACTCTTAAAGCTAATTTCATCCAATTGCCTTTTAATTATAGTCTCTTGCTCGGAGTTGCAGATATAATGGGCTTTTAATGTTAACTTGCACTGTTCTATGTTCAATGCGGGATGCAATCATGCAGTTTACTCAATCAGAGCCAGTGCATAGGGTAATTACAACACAAGAGCACAGGGATGTCCGTGCATGCATACACCCAGCAGGAGAGTGGAATACAGGAACCTGACAAGCAGCTCGTGGTGGAACACTGCAAGATTCAGGCAAGCCAGGGTTACAGTTAGACCCTGTCTCCAAAGTCTCCAGGAAGTGGAACAGTGCTACATAAAGTCATTCACCTTTAAAAAAAAAAAAAGATCATTTATGTGTGTGCACCACATACACATGGGTGCTCATTGAGGTCAAAGGGCATTGGGCCACCTGAAACGGAGTTACAGACAGTAGTAAGCTGTCTGATGTGGGTGTTGGGCAACCCCCCCATGCCCCAGTACACCCGTAGTACCAACTTTTATCTTCTGAGTCATCTCTCCAGCCCCAGGGCTTTAGGGTTAAAGAGAAAGGATCTGCACTGACAGTTTTCCAGCTTGTTCAATCAATCACATCTCTATATACTGGCAATAATCTGGAGACAAAAAATGCAAATATTCTTATGTACGGTTACATTAAAATACTTTGGAAGAAATTTAACCAAGGAAGGAGCCACACTGAAAAGTTATAAATGTTGCTGAAATTGAAAAGATATCCCATGTTTATAGATTGGAGGAATTAACGTTTAAAAAAAAAAAGTGGAACTCCATGAAACTAAAGAGCTTGTGCACAGCTAAAGAGACAATCAATAAATTAAAATGATTCCTATGGACTAGCAAGAAAATACTTGCAAGTCCTTGGTAGGTAGGAAAAGTACACAGGGACTCACAGCTTATTAGCAAACAAACTAATACTTCTCCATAGAAATGGACAACAGAAATGTAAATTAGGGCTGGTGAGATGGCTCAGAGGTTAGGATCGCTGGCAAGGACAACAGAAATGCAAACTAAAACCACTGGGAAGGATTGGAGAGATGCTCGGTGGTTAAGAGCACTAGTTGTTCTTCCAGAGGACCAGGGTTCAATTCCCAGCACCCACATGGCAACTCACAACTGTATGCAACAACAGTTCCAAGAAACCCAACACCCATGGCAAAACCACAAATGCATATAAAATAAATTTGAAAACAAAACAAAAAGAAAAACAGAACACTTTGAAACTGTTGGAAATGTGACAGAACCTTTGTGGAAAATAGCTTGAAGGGTGCTCAGGGAAACGAAGCAGGACTAATATATAACCCAGTCATCCAAGTCTTGTGATATCTAGATCCCTTTATTTATCAAGGCTGTTCATGATATGCAAGGTGTGGATATAGCCCTCTGTACCCCTGTAATGTGAAAGTCTTGGAAACCAGTATATTAGTAGAATAAAGCCAAATACCACCAGCAAAATACATGTTGTTAAAACAAAACAAAGGCAACCAACACAAATAGTGTACTTTCATCACCAGATGTAGGGAGGCAGAGAAGGAACAGAGTTGGAAAAATAAGCTTTCAGTTCTGCAGGAAAGTCTAGAAATCTAATACACCTGTGCATGTATACATGCCTATTCAGATTTGAAACTCATTAAATGTAGGTATTCTGGAGAAATTTCTTTTAGTTCTGCTGAGATGTTTATTCCTATGTAAAATGTAAACGTGAGAGTATGTGAGAATTCATTTCTTAAACATTAACAAAGGGCTGGAAAGGTTCCTCAGTGGTTCAGAGCACTGGCTGCTCTTCTAGAGATGCTGGGTTTGATATTCAGCACCCACACACCATTTTGTGATTCCAGTTCCAGGGTGCAATGCTCCACCCTGGTCTCAGCAGACGCTGCACTCACCTGGTACACAGACAAACATGAAGACAAAACGAGTGTTTCAAATACCATCCCTCAGTTTCTAGCCTCCTTCTCGCGTCTTCACTTTCCTACCCCTTTGCCATCCCATCTACGGCTTTGGGGGGAAAAGAGAAAGAAACACGGGGCTAGCTAGATATTGTCCTACAACAGGATTTTCTAAGACTCTTATTACGTTGAAGAAGACTTTTCTCACATGAATACAGGTAGACCAGCCTCTACAAGGAGAGCCAATCTTGATCCTTCCGGAGATGAATCTCAGATCTTAAGAGCCTGCCCCCTAATCGCTGCATCTTTTGTTTAGTCTTTAATCCTCACGCTGAAACTAGAATCCATAAAGGATCTAGTCAGACACAAGGCTGGCAAAAGCAAACACCAGACAAACACGTGATCCATCACCCTGATTAAACTCTTAGATAATTGAAATTTATGAATGGCTTTTGTGCTTTGGTTTACTGGTATTAACTTGGAGTTTCAGATACACATTCCTCTAAGTGATACCTGAGCTGCCCTACCAAATCTATCATAAAGAGTTAACATTCTGTAGTAGCTCTTATTAGCAACAACGTCACACTGAAGCCAAACTCTAAATCCTGAATTTTACAGACTTTTCTTTTAAATTTTGCTATTTATAAAAAACAAGATTAATCATCATTCATTCATTTTTTTTTCTAGAAAGTAACTTCCAGGGGTATGGCAAATCTTCAAAACAAAGTGGCACTTTTAACAACCAAATTATCTACATGGAATGGTGTGTGTGTGGGAAGGGTGCATTCAAAGTTGGATGGCTGATTTATTTTTCTGGTCTTTAGTTCACTTTGCAATTACACAAATAAGTTAGATTTTCATTCCAGCTACCCTTTCCTTTGTCCACTTTGAATTCCTTCCCTAGCATGCATACTAGTTTATCCCAACTACTAAAATCAACAAAATTCCTCTATGAATCCCATCTAGTATGACCCTTTTCCCTTTTCATTTCCCTTTGTAGCTTTTAAAAAACATTTGCATTATCTTTCTATTGAGGAGATCTAGCACAATTTAGGTAATTGTTTTTACTAAGTGGACATTTACGTTTATGAATTTGCTACAATTAAATAGAATTCACTTAATGTCCTTGAGGAAATACTCCCAAACATGAAAGAACTCTACTTCATACATTAAAACTTTTAGCTCCCAGTACTACAGAACAAGAATGTGATCTTATCTGAAGGTCTTTTTATAGATAATTAAGATGACAGGTCTTGAAGACATAATGCTATTCAATGACTGGTGTCTGGATAAAAGGGAATCCAAACAGAAAACAATAGCAAAAACCCTGGTGTGACCCTTTGATTTCAGAGGGGTGGTCTCCATAACTAGGAGATAATGTATTTCTGGTATTTGAGGCACACTGTTTTGGTCACTGTGGTGGTGGCCCTCAGGAATTTAATAGAGCACTCTTTAACAGAACAGACTGGACTTTAACAGACTGGTGCACCAGTATTAAATTTTAGTAACTCTTTAATTTTGGAAACAGCTTCTCATTGTGTAGTTCTGGTCAAACTGATACTTGTCCTGTGAGCCAGGCTGACCTCAAACTCACTGAGACCTGCCTGCCTATACCTCCTGAGTACTGGGATTAAAGGTGTATACCACCACAACCCACTCTTTCGCTATATTTTAAAAAACAATTCCTCCTCTCCTCTAGAGGCATAATCCTCTATAGTTCTGACTGGTTTCCCGAGCACAAGGCTTACCAGGCTGGCCACGAACTCACAGATTTGCCTGCCTCTGCCTTCTGAGTGCAAGGATTAAAGGAATGTGCCACCATGACCAGCTGTTATCTTTTTTAATGTAGTTTTGACTTACTTTTCGAAAATTAAAATTAAAAAATTTAATTTAAAAACATATAAGTACTCATTCATTTATTTAGGGTTATCGCATCTACCATGAAGTACAATTTTAAAGGTAAAGCTAGGCAATTAGAAACTATATACTTAAAAATCAGTGATTTTCTACAAAGTAGGCAAAAATCATCACATTGAATAATGCAGCACATATATTATTAAAGATTATGCTTCTGAAGTAACTCCGACATTCACTTTTCTGTTGGAACTACACCATGAAATGACTGTCCTTAAAATGGTATAATGAAAAATAAAGAATAAAAGTTTGCTTTCTAGAGTTGTGAAACTCCTGACAAATATTCCACAATGGAGGCCTCCCCATTGACTGATTCTTCCATTAAGACTACCCAGCCTGAGGACAATCTCTGTCTTGGTCTTCAGCATTTCTTCCCTGCCTTTGCATGGGTTAGGATGTGAGTTTTCAGATTATTTGACTGAATAAAGCCTTTGGAGCAGCCGTCAAAGGGGCACACAAAGCGCTTCTCGCCAGTGTGGATGCGTATGTGGGTGCGCAGGTTGAAGTCCAGTGAGAAGCGCTTCCCGCACCCCTCGAAGGTGCACTGAAATGGCTTCTCTCCGTTATGCACCAGAAAGTGTCGCTTTAGTTTCGAGCTCTCGGCAAAAGCTTTCCCACACTCTGCACACACATGCTGGCGGGGACCGTGAACAAGCATGTGCTTCCTCAGGGCAGTTTTGTCTCTCAGCTTCTTCGTGCACCCTGTTTGAGGACACTCCAGCATCGATAAAATGTCACCAGATTCATCACCCTTTGGCTTCTCTTCAGTCGAGAGAAGCTCTGAGGCAAGCTGCTGAGGATCTGATAAATCAACTTTTGGTATTTTTTCAACAGGAAGCTTCCAGCTAGTCATGGACTTGGAACACCCGAGTTCTGAATTCGCTTCAACAATCTGTTGAGGCTGCTCTTGTTTGGTCTCCCTTTTCTCCTGTTTTGTTCCCTTAGTCACATATTCCAAAGAACTTTCTAGAAGGGAACTCGCTTCAAGAACCTGGCGAGAAAGGTCTTGTTCGGCTTTCTCTAGGTTTTCAAAAGATTTAAAAAGTAAATCCTCTTCCAAAATAGGTTCAGAAAACTCCCCTCTGATGATGCACTCTATGTAACCATCAGGGAAGTCATCTTCCTCAGTCTCGGGGTTTGTCTCACCATACATATCATCATCGTGGATGGTGTATGTTATGTGGAGAGGTTCCAGGCTTGTCTTCTGGACTTGGTCCACCTCCTCTTGTTTCGTGTTCACTCTGAGGGCTCGCCTACCCTGGCCTTTCTGGCCACTTGTCTTTGCCATTTTCTTCACTTCCGTGCTCATGTTGTCTTGGCCGCTTCCTTCGTGAAACATGAATGTTAATCACTTCCAGAGAGTGCTGATCCAGAAGAGTCACCCCCAGGAAACACCTGCCTTAGATAATAACCTAAAGTTAGAACATATTCCAATACTATAGCAACTGTGAGGAAATGACGTCACTAAATGGTGGATAGACAGTGGGATGATGGCTCAGCAGGAAGTTGCTGGCCACTCAAGAGTTTAATCCTGGGACCCAGGTAGTAGGATAGAACCAACTCCCACAGACTGTCATCTGACCTCCACAAGTGAGCCACACATTTGAGTGAAGACACGTGTGTGTGTGTGTGTGTGTGTGTGTGTGTGTGCGTGCGTGCACAAACACACAGAGACTCTCTAAATAAAATTACATATACCTTAAAAAATGGTTTACCACATGATCATCTCATTCGATGCTGAACAAGACTTTGACAAACTCCAACACTCCTTCATGATAAAGGTTGTAGAGATTAGGGATGCAGGGGACATACTTAAACATAAAAGACAATTTACAACAGGCCAATAATAGCCAACATCAAACTAAATGAAGAGAAACTCAAAACAATTTCACTAAAATCAGAAAGAGGACAAGGTTGCCCACTACATACCTCATCAATAATACTTGAATTTCTAGCTAGAACAAGACAATTGAAGGAGATCAAGGGAATACAAATTAGAAAGGAAGAAGTCAGAGCATTAGTATTTGCAGATAAGTATACATACGCAACCCCAAAAATTCTACCAGGGAACTCCTACAGCTGATAAACACCTTCAGCAAAGTAGCTGGATACATTAACAACAAATCAGTAGACCTACTACATACAAATGACAGATTGAAGGAAACCAGGGAAACAACACCCTTCATAATAGCCTCAAACTATAAAATACCTTGGGATATCTTTAAGTAAGCAAGTAAAACACTTGTATGACAAATACTTCAAGTCTTTGAAGAAAGAAACTGTAGAAGGTATCAGAAGATGAAAAAAAAAATCACCCATGCTCATGGATTGGTACAATTAACATAGTAAAAATGGTCATCCTACTAATGGCAAACTACAGATTCAATGCAATTCCCAATAAAATTCCAATACAATTCTTCACAGAAATTAAAAGGATAACACTCAATTTCATATGAAAAAGAGGAAACCCAGGATAGCTAAAACAATATTGAGCAATAATAAAGAACTTCGGGAGATATCACCATCCCAGATTTCAAGCTCTACTACAGACCTATAGTAATAAAAACCGTATGGTATTGTCATAGAAAGACAGGTGGATTGATGGAATAAAATTGATGACCCACACACCTATGCATACCCGAGTTTTGATAAAGAAGCCAGAAATATACACCAAAAAAAGCATCTTCAAGATGGTACTGATCTAAATGGATGTCTGCATGTAGAAGAAATACAAATAGATCCATGTATCACCATGTGCAAGACTCACAAGGTCCAAGTGGATCAAAGATCTCAACATAAAACCAGATCACTGAACCTGGTAGGACAAAGTGGGGAGTAGCATTGAATGCATTCACACAGGAGACAACTTCTAAACAGAGAACATCGATAGCACAGGTATTAAGATCGACAATCAATAAATGGGACCTCAGGAAACTTTTATGTAAGGCAAAAAGGACACCATCAATAGGACAAAATGAAAGCCTACAGAAGGGGAAAAGATTTTCACCAATTCTACATCCTATAGAAGGCTAACATCCAAAATATTTAAAGAACTCAAGAAACTAGACAGCAATAAACTAAACAAATTTAAAAATGCAGTATAGTTACCAAGGAACCCAAGGAAGAGGGCATCAGTGTTCATGGTGACTGAATGAAGCCTGGTGACAGGATGGCTGGGCACAGATTGGTATTGGTGTTAGGAGATCTGCACATTCCACAACAGTGCAACAGCCTGCTGGCTAAATTAAAAACTCCTGGTGCCAGTAAAATTCCAGCACATTCTCTGCACTGGGAACCTTTGCACCAAGGAGAGCTATGACTATCTCAAGACTTTGGTTGGCTACATCCACATTGTAAGAGGAGACTTCAATGAGAATCTGAATTCCCCAGAATAGAAGGTTGGGACTGAGGGGCAGTTCAAGATCTGTCTGATCCATGGACACCAATTTATTCCATGGGGAGACATGGCTAGCTTGGCCCTGCTGCAGAGGCAGTTTGATGTGGACATTTGTTTTTGTTTTGTTTTGTTTTGTTTTGTTTTGTTTTTGTTTTTTCAAGACAGGGTTTCTGTGCAGCTTTGGAGCCACTCCTGGAACTAGATCTTGTAGACCAGGCTAGTTTCAAACTTATAGAGATCCGCCTGCGTCTGCCTCCCGAGTGCTGGGATTAAAGGCATGTGCCGCCACCACCACCCTGCGATGTGGACATTCTTATCTCAGGACACACACACACACACACAAATTGGAAGCATTTGAGCATGAAAATAAATTCTGCATTAACCCAGGTTCCGCCACTGGGGCTATGTCTTGAAAACAAATATTATTCCATCATTTGTCCTGATGGATATCCAAGCTTCTACAGTGGTCACTTAGGTCTATCAGCTTATTTTTATTGGAGATGACATGAAAGTAGAGCAAACTGAATACAAAAAAATCTTAAAGCTAGGCTTGTCTTGATCATTTTCTGTTTTTTTCCCATTTCCTGGTTGAAAGGAATTAAGCACTTACGAGGCACACAGTTGTGTCACTTTTATATTTTGCACTAAAAGGTATCCTGTTTAATACCAGTTGCTAAGCTTCTTGTAAACTCTAGAATACTCTTAGCTTGCAATATATGGTTTCTATGAAAAGAAGTCCACCATACAGTACAGGGCCATTAAGAAAAATTTATCCTTGTAAATACCTTCCTCGTTGGTATTTGCACTTTAATTACAAAACCAGTGAAGAGAAAGAATACAGAATTTCTGTATGCTTTTTGTTCTCTAGTAATAAATGTTTACCTTCAATTAAAAAAAAAAACATGGTACTGATCTAAACAGAGGAATTCAAAATAGAGGAATCTCAAATTGTCTGAGAAACACATTACAACATTAAAGAAATGTTGAATATCTTAAGCCATCAGGGAAATACAAATCCAAAAGATTGAGATTCCTTCCATCTTACTGCTGTCAGAGGTTAAAGTCAGCTGGGCAATGGTGGCACACGCCTTTAAAATCCCAGTACTCAGGAGGCAGAGACAGGCAGTTTTCTGTGAGTTTGAGGTCATCTTGGTCTACAGAGTGAGTTCCTGGACAGAATTCCAAGATACAGAGAAACCCTGTCTTGAAAAACAAAAAACAAAAGAGAATAGCTAAGATCAGAAACACAAGGGACAGAAAACTGGGAATGGATCTACCTCGAGACCCATACAACTCTTGGACATATACCCAAGATGTTCTATTCTATCTACAACAAAGACACTTGCTCAAATATGTTCATAGCAGTTTTATTCATAACAGTCAGAAACTGGAAACAACCTAGATATCCCTCAACCTAAGAATAAAGAGAACTCAATAAAGTACTACTCAGCTGTTAAAAAAATGATGATATTGCCTTTCATACCAAGATAGGAGGGCAGAGAGGCAGAGGCAGGAGTTGGGGGGGGGATCTCTGTGAGTTCAAGGTCAGCCTGGTCTACAAGAGCTAGTTCCAGGACAGCCAGGACTGTGACATAGAGAAAACCTGTCTCGAAAAAAAAACCAAAAAACCCAACCAACCAAAAAAAGACACCATGAACTTCAGGCAAATGGATGGAACTAGAAAAAACAATCATCCTGAGTGAGGTAGCCCAGACCCAGAAAGACAAAAACGGTATTAACTGTAAAGTCAATGCTAATTACGCTACAACCCACAGATGCAGAGGGTAAGTAACAAGGAAGACTCAAGTGGGAGGTGGATGCATGGATCTCCCTGGGTGGGAAGGGGAAAGAGAATAGATTGTTGGTGGAGTGGGGGATGGATGGGGATGGGAACAGGACAGATCAGATGGAGGAAGAAGGGATGGAAGGAGAGTGTACTGGAATTGGGGTCGTTCTGGGGTTGGTGCAGAAATCTAGTGCAGTTGAAACTCCTTGGAATCTATGAAGGTGACCCTACCAAAGACTCCTAGTATTGGGGGAAATATGAAGCCTGAACTGGCCATACTCTGTAACTGGGCAAGGCTTCCAGTGGTGGGGAAGGACACCAACTCAGTCACAAAACCTTCGACCCGTCCTGTAGGATATGCTAGGGAAATGATGGCTCAGAACATGTGGGAGTGGCCAATCATCATGCATGACACCGCCTGGATGATCAAGAACGGGAAGTTGGGAAGCCCAGAGGATATAGGGCAGAAACAAATATGACTGGCAAAAAGCTGAACAGGGGTCAGAAGGATTGTAGGAACCAGCGAGGTCACAGACACAAAGAGAACATGGCCCACAGAATCAACTAAATAGAGTTCATAAGGTTCAGAGACTCAATTGGCAATCAGGGAGCTTGTATGAGTCTGTGCATCATGTCCTCTACATTTATGCTATAGTTGCTAGCATGGTGTATTTGTGGGACTCATAACAGTGGGGATAGGAAGGCAGAGGCAGGCAGATCTCTGTGAGTTCAAGGCCAGCCTGGGCAACAAGAATTAGTTCCAGGACAGGCTCCAAAGCTACAGAAAAACCCTGTCTTGAAAAACAAATCAGAAAAATGCACCTTTAACCCTAGCACTCGGGAGGCAGAGGCAGGCAGATCTGTGATTTCAAGGCCAGCCTGGTCTACAGAATGAGTTCCAGGACAGGCTCCAAAGCTAGAGAAACCTTGTCTCTGTAAAAAAACAACAACACAAAAAAACAAAACAAACAAAAACAACAACAAAAAAACAGTGAGGGTAAGGGTGTCTCTGATTCTTTTGTCTGCTCTTGGGACCTGTTTCCTCCTACTGGGTTGCCTTGTCCAGCCTTGATATAAGGGTTTGAATCTTGTTATGCCGCATTTGCCTGATATTCCTGAGAGCCCTGCTCTTTTCTGAAGGGAAAGGGAAGAATAGGAGGTCTGGGGGAAAGTGGAGGTGTGGGTGGGCAATGAGACTGGGAGGAGTGGAGGGAGAAACTGGGGTAGGGATGCACTACATGAGAAAAGAATAAGTAAGAAGAGGAAAAAAGGTTTACAACCCACTTTGCAAAAACCCTTAATTTACACTAACATCTTAGACTAAAAGAAACTAAATTGTAACTCTGAACACACCAGCATGTCTGGAACTCTCCAGTGGGCTACGTGACCTCACGCTAGTACTGACTGCACACTCAGTATAGTGCCGCCCCTATTCTAGACTAAGCATTCCACAGGATACATCAGTAAATAAACATACAAAAAAAATGCCTTAATAGCACAGAATCTTCATAAGCATATAAAATAACAAACGTGGACTGGGGATGTGGCTCAGCTGGAAGACTGCTCACCTAGAGTGCACAAAGCCCTGGTATAATCCCCAGCAGAGCAGCAAAGGACTGTGATGTGACAGTAAGACTTGGAACCCCAGCTCTGTGGGAGGGAGAGGCAGGGAGTCATCCTCAACTATAGAGTTAAAGAGCCTACCGGGACTCCATGAAACCTTACCTCAAAATAAATAAAATAAAAAATAAAGTAAGCAACACATGCCAAATACTATTAAGTTGCAAACTCTGGTATGAAATACTAATAAAGGCCTTCGCAGAAAGTTTAAGTTTGCAGTTTTAAAGAGTAGAAAATCCTACTGTTTGGTCAGTTGCAGTGATAAAAAGACTTGGAGGCAATGAAGTGAGACAGTCCTGCTTTATTTCATGCACAGGAGCGGTGAATGGGAAATGTAATGATGCTTGGAAGGCACATGGCACAGTCCACAGCATACAGTAAATGCTGGGCATACGTGTGAGTTCGTGCTATTTTTTTCTTGCTTTTCATTCTATCCTGGGTCCTACTGCTTTAAGTGGGGTAGGAACAGTAGCTATTTTTATTGTTTTGTACAGAGTCAGCTATAGGCTTGAGCAGGCCCCGCATGTCTGTTAAACTATTCACCCTTCTTCAAATGAGAAGCAGAGAGTAAAAGAAATGAGGATGTTGTCACAATAAAATAAGGAGGAGCAAAATTTCACTCCTGGACAGGATATGCTGGCCTATTTTCTGGAAGATTCTCCAAGATCCAGAAAGTAAAACACAAAATTGATGGAATCCCAGTGAATTTAAGGCATAAGAAAGTCACAGGGCAAAATTTGGCTCTCGAATCTAAAATGGCTGAAAGACACTTAAGGAAATGTTCAACGTCCTTAGTCATCAGGGAAATGCAAAACAACTCTGAGGATCCATCTTATACCTATAAGAATGGCCAAGATCAAAAACACTGATGACAACTTATGCTGGAGAGGTTGTGGGGAAAAGGGAACACTCCTCCATTGCTGGAGGGAATGTAAGCAGGTACAACCCTTTTGGATGTCAGTGTGGTGATTTCTCAGCAAATTAGGAAACAACCTTCCTCAAGACCCAGTAATACCACTTTTGGGTATATATCCAAGGGATGCTCAATTGTGCCAAAAGGACATGTGCTCAACTACGTTCATAGCATCACTGTTTGTCATAGTCAGAACCTGGAAACAACTTAAATGCCCCTCGATCGAAGAATGGATAAGCAAAATGTGGTACATTTACACAATGAAGTACTTACTACACAGCAGAAAAAGATAATGACATCTTGAATTTTGCAGGAAAATGGATTAAGCTAGAAAACATTATTTTGAGTGAGGTAACCCAGACACAGAAAGACAATCACATGTACTCACTCATAGGTATTTTTTAAACAAAGACAGTTATCACATGTACTCACTCATAGGTGGTTTTTAAACATAAAGCAAAGAAAGCCATCCTACAAACCACAATCCCAGAGAACTTAAGACAACAATGTGAACACTAAGAGAGACTTACATATAGATATAATCTACATGGGAAGTAGAAAGTAGAAAAAGACAAGATTGGACTCCTGAGTAAATTGGGAGCATGGGGACCTTGGGGGAGGGTTGAAGGAGGGAGGGGAGAGGCAGGGAGGGGAGCAGAGAAAAATGTAGAGCTCAATAAATATCATGGAAAAAAACTGGCTCTCTATTTTCCCATTATTTAAAAAAACAAACCAAACGACCAAGAACAACAAAGTCAAATCTAAAAAGCAAGACCATTTAAAGTAGCAACATAAATACACTGTTGTTTTTCTACCTGCCTTTTGCTTAATGTTCAAATCATGTGCCCAACAGAAGGGGTCTTTATTGTTCTATTGTTCTGATATCTTGCTGTAGGAACAGAAAGTAAACGCTCTGCAAACCAGGGCCAATGCGAAAGCTGCGGGATTTAAAAACTACTTCGAAATGGCCATCTCAACAGAGATGAATACAAAAAAATGAATACAGCAAACAAAAACAAAGCACATTTCAACTGCTAGGGACAAGAGCACCCCCCCACACACACACACCTATTCTTTATGTCATTTAAACTGATGACATAATTGAGACAGGCCATATTCAAGAAGAGTTAACGAGCAAAATCATGTCATGATCATGTCTAGGCTCAACTAAAATAACTGGAACTTGGTTTGATTCTCTGTTCTCCAAACTCCTCTCTTGCCACTTGTATTTCTCTTACTTCTCCTTTGCTTAAAGAGTTTACCAATAGGGAGTTTAGTCAGAAAATGCTATTAATTCTTGCATGGTTAAACCCATCAGGGGTCAGGCCAATAAATCACATGGTAAGGTCAAAACGCCCAACAATATATTTGAAAATATGAAGTAACGCGTGCAGGGAGAAAAGGCTAACAACCTTCCCAAGTACATGCTGGTGAGGTCTAGAAGTATTCCTAAACTGCCAACTAGGAACTGGGGCTAAAATATTCACACTGATCCTGTTGAGGTTATCCTCCAAACAGAATCAGTCATTCTCAAATATAAATTTTGCTAATAAAACCTCATGCCAACAGTCCTCGGCTATAAGCGTCTAAAAAGCTACAGGAGTCTAAAAAAAAACCAACAAAAATAAACTCAATAATAGAATTCGCCAGCAAGAAGGCTCTATAGAAGTTACTTGCGGGTTGGAGAGATGGCTCAGTGGTTAAGAGCACTGCCTGCTCTTTCAAAGGTCCTGAGTTCAATTCCCAGCAACCACATGGGGCTCACAACCATCTGTAATGAGGTCTAGTGCCCTCTTCTAGCCTGCAGACATACACAGAATATTGTATACATAAATAATAAATATTTTTTTTAAAAAAAGAAAGAAGTCACTTGCTGCCAGTGACAAATGTGGGACTCCGACTTCCACTTGCACTGGACCACACATAAGCACCCGAGCATGCAAGCGCGCCCTCACATACTAAATACAAGATATAAAATTAAAAGAAGAGAAACTTCAAAGATAAAAACTGAAAATGCTGTTTTGTAGCTTAGATGTCCTAGAGCAGCTATTCCTGTTGAATACCCAAAGCTCTGACAACAAGCACATTCCCAGGACTTGTACACAAACAAGAACTGGATTCGATCTCCATAACCTGTCTAGTGTAGGGATGCATGGCAGACACCAGAACCCATCGTCACACATGTTCTGAGAGGTGGCTGGCATTTCTGTTAGGCTGACCAAAAGGGGCAAAGTCAAAGTCAGAAGGCAGACAGCCACCTTTCCCACATAACACCTTTTTTTCTAAGACAGGGTTGTTTTTTTTTTTTTTTAGGGTTAGCCTCAAACTTGCTTTGTAGCCAAGGTCAATCAAGAACTCACAAACTCCCAATCTTCTTGGGTGCTGGGGTCACAGGTTGTTTTAATTATTCTAATTTTAATTAGTCAACCATAATAAACTCTCCCTAGAATTAGAATAAGGCACCCCACGAGTGCACTGCATCTTCTCTCACTTAACACACCAAGGAATGTTTTCTGGCATTGTTAGTGTGCAGGAATATACCCACCTACATTTCAGATCTCTGGTTAAACACTGCTTCCTTGGAGCTTCCCTTAGGTGCACTTAGATCCCAAGCTAAATGTTCCCCAGCTTCTTACGGAACACATAAGAACACAATTCTTGGTATTGTCTGGAAAATAGGTTCCTCTTACCTGCTGGCTGGACTGTACATTCACACTACCGAGCGCAAAAGTCTGTCTTCTTTGCCAAATACCAGAGCTTAGTCCATTTCCCTATGAAAATAAGTTTATGAATATCATTATTTATACTCCTCGTGAAGCCTGAATCAGAAATCTTGAAAATATTAATTCAGTAAGCATTTATTCACAACTTTAGACATTTAAAATGAAATTTTTTCAATAGTTGCTTGCAAATGCTATTTAGATAGAATATTTCCTAGCAGATCAAAGTCAAAGAGATTTTATGAATATATCACCATCTAAATACAGCATTTACTTTTCTTCATTAGGTTATTTATCAGATATTTTGAGCATTACACTATCCCCCACCCAATATGCAATCTTGAGAGAAGGGCAAATTAAGTTAAGATGGTGATTTTTGGTTGTTTGTTTGTTTTTGGTTTTTTTTTTGTTTTTCGAGACAGGGTTTCTCTGTAGCTTTGGAGAATGTCCTGGAACTAGCTCTTGTAGACCACACCACGAACTCAGTTCGCCTGCCTCCTCCGCCTCCCGAGTGCTGGGATTAAAGGCGTGCGCCACCACCGCCCAGCTAAGGTGGTGATTTTTTAAGCTCTCACTATGTTGTGGAGACTGGCTTGAACCCACCACCTCCTGCCCGTACTTTCCATGTTCTGAAATTACAGACATGTGCCACCAAGCGTGGCCCAATAGCTTCTAATTAGTCACAGTAACCATACATTGTTCTAGCAGCTCAATAAAAAGAATGAAAAAGACCCAAAGTTCACAGTTAACACGGAGACAAAAGCTTTCATAATGTGGGGAACACAGATACTAAACAGTAAACTAACAAAAATAGTTCCTGATAGAGAAAAATACTCGGAGAAATATTCGTATGAGAGACGGCATACAGAAGGGAATCCACCTTTGTCAGGACCATCTAGAAAAGCTTCCAAAATGCCAGTCCCCTGGGGGAGAGGTGAGATTCAATTTCCCAAAATGCCCGCTTTAGCAAGCCATGTGCACTTCACTGTAAAAGGGATTTGATGTGGAACGTCAGGAAATAAAGTAATCCCGAATAAAGGTAAGTACGGAAGGAAGCCATGTTGACTACAGGGGGGAGCCATATTTACCACAGACGCCGTAATTCTTTGTTCTCCCCCGTTCGGTTTTTTTGAGACCGAGTTTCTCTGTGTAGCCTTGGATGTCCTGGAATTTGCTCCGTAAACCAAGCTGGCCTCCAACTCACAGAGATCCTCCGGCCTCTGCCTCCTGGTTGCTGGGAATAAAAGCATGCGCCACCATCACTGGCATAAGGCCGCAATTCCTATAAAAGAGGGACAGGAAGAGGCGGGCAGAGTCCAGGCGCAAAGGAAGCTGGGAATTCTACGGAAAGTCATTTGCGTTGCATTTCAACAGCGAAGGAAACCACTACAGGCTTGCAAAGGAGCAGCAGGCTCTAGTTTAAGTTAAAGGGTTATCATGGATCTTCTATAGAGAAACAAGAGTGAAAAGAGAACTCCGGTAATTTGAGAACCAAAACCTGAAACGCACAAAGGGTGGGAAACCAGAAAAACATTCTTTCCAGTTTGCTGTTGGATTGGAAAACGAGGTGAGGAATTTGAAAAACGAGCTAAGGAAAACAATAAAACAAGCGGTCTTTTTTGTTCTCCTAGAATAATCTAGCAGAATTTACAGAGGTAAGCAGAGACAGAAATGTAGGTGTCCTGTTGCCACAATATACATTTTTGCTTGTTTTTCGAGACCAGTTTCTCTGTAGCTTTGGAACCTGGTTTAGAACTAGCTTTTGTAGATCAGGCTGGCCTTGAACAAGAGTTTCGCCTGCCTCTGCCTCCCGAGTGCTAAGATTAAAGGCGTGTGCCACCACCGCCCGGCTAAATATTTTAATATAAAATAGTTCTACCGGGCTGGAGAGGTGGCTCGGTGGTTAAGAGCTTTGCCTGCTCTTCCAAAGGTCCTGAGTTCAATTTCCAGCAACCACATGTGTTCACAACCATCTGTAATGAGATCTGGTGCCCTCTTCTGGCCTGCAGGGTACATACATGCAGGCAGAACACTGAATACATAATAAATAAATCTTTAAGAAAAAAAATAAAATAGTTCTAGCTCAATAATTCGATGAAATAAAGGTCATGAAATTTGAAACAAAATTTAAAACACAACTTCGAGGAGATTCCAATCAGAATGTCGCTTTCTTAATGTTTATCAACTTTGCTCCTCAATCTGTGTTTGAAAAATTGGTGGCCAATGGCTCAAGGTAGTGGGAGATTGATGCAATCTGAAAGCTAGCAGAATTTTAGATGTCAAGCCTAGTTTATCACCAAGTTGCAAAAGTCGAAACTCTGCTGAATTTAGGTTTTCAAACCCTTCTCTCTTCCCTCTCCTTGTAGCAGAAAAACAGACAAAGCCCAGCGGTTTCATGAAGCAAGACTTACCTAATCCTCCAGCGATGCGCTCTGATACCTCCTACTCCGGTTCCTTTCTGAAATCCCAAGAAAGCTGAAACTGTCACTAGTACCCGGAGCAGCAGTGGAAATCTCCCCAGCCTCGAGCTCGGTTTTTCGGACCCCTCCGGGGTTTCTGACAGACGCGCTCTATTCCAGCCACATTTATCCTGCCCCTTACTCCGCCTTCCGCAGGCTGAGTTCCCAAGGCTAAGCGCTCCAGGTGGAAGGGGGCGTGCCGGGGCCGTGGCCCTGGGCCCAGGTGAACCACCCTGAGCCCGTCCGGGTCCCAGCTTAGGGTGGGGTCAGCATAGGAGAACCGGCAGAGGCTGCCCCAGCGCCGGACAAACTAACGCCTTTTTGGAATCTCTTGCCTTAAGACAGTAAATTCTCAGAACCTGTCCACGACCTTATGACACACGTGTAACCAAATTTACGCTCTTATTACCTGATGGAAAGAAATTCAAGGAGATAATACTGTTTCTGCCTCCTAAACACACATCCAAAACTTCCTTTGCTCTTTAGTCTCATCTGCACTCTGGATCCCGACCTCCTCTGATCGCCACTATTTAGCCACGTTAATTTTTTTTTTTAAGCTCTTAATGTGAATGTTGGAAACCCCACAAAGCAACACGACTCATGTTGAGAGCGTGGATCAACCGGCGTTCACCACTGACTACTGTCTAGTAAAATTTACTAGTTCGTATAAATACACCGGCACCATTAAAACAAAAGCCAAATCAATATTTAAGAACCTCTTACATTTAATTGAGCCTGAAGCTTTTCTGTAATTTACTTGTCAGGGCGGAGTCAATCATTTATTTTAGTTTGTTTGCTTCTTTGTGAATAAAATTTAATTGTGAAATTGAAAAGGACAAACTTTCCACTGGTGAAATAAGACTCTTCTCTGTGAAGGTTTTTCCACTAAGTGCCCCTCATCCATCTGAATGGAAGTTGAATAAACCTGCCTTGCCAGCTTCCTTCTCCCAGGAGCAAGCCCTCTGAGATGAATTTCTGGTAGAAGGGAGAATAAAGAACTGTTTTCCTCCTGGTTTCTTACCTAATTGTGGCTTTTTTAGAAAGTACATTGGCAAATTCTCAGACCACGTTTGCATCTACCGCTGTGTGTGTGTGTGCATGTGTGTGTGTGTGTGTGTGTGTGTGTGTGTTCACGCACGCAGGCGCGTGATAAAAATGTTAGTAGTTGAAGCCAGCCTTGGTTACACAGGGAGGTCCTGTTTCAATTTTCTCCGCGCTTGGGTTTTTAGGTTTCCAGAAGAAACCAGAAAGCTTTTCTTTGACCTAATCATTCAGAGACAGAGCCACACCCTTTTGTTATCAAGTCCTTCAACTGTGAGACACCTGTGAACTATGCACATCTTCCCTTTGCAGGATTTTGTTGGCCCTCTAGTTTGTATCAGGGTGACGCTGTGGCTAGGGAGGGACTCACAGAAAGAGAGCACCTGACAGTCTGCTATTCCAGTCCATACTCCACCACACACAGCCATTATTTTGTTGTTGTTGCTTTTTTGTTTTTCAAGACAGGGTTTCTCTGTGTAGCTTTGGAGCCTGTCCTGGAACTTGTTCTGTAGACCAGGCTGGCCTCGAACTCACAGAGATCTCTCTGCCTCTGTGCACCACGTGCGCCACTGCTGCCTGACCAACAGCCATTATTTTTGATCCCAGTACAATTTAGCTTTTTTACCCAGGTCCCTCCCCACACCCCAAAGTAACACTGAATGAAGAATCTCACCTGGTTTCACATCTTTGTTTAAGGGAACTTTGGTTTCTCCAAAATGAGTTAGGTAAGTAATTAAACCACACAAAAAAAGCAGGCTGTCTTTTGAAGTTTTACCCGCAAGGGAGAAGTGTATTAAATAAGAATTTTTCCAGGTTTGATGGGTGGTGCTTGTAAACCCAGTATTTGTGTGGCTGAAACTGTAGGGATGATTTTGAATTGAGAAAAAGCATGGCGAGTTCCAGGTTACCCTGGGTTATAGAATGAGACCTTGCTACAAGCAAATAAACAAATAGCAACAACAAGACACAATAATATTCAGATTGATGAAATTTTATCCATTTTAATTCTTTTAACAATAATATCCTGGTCATTAAAATATATATTCTTGGGGCTGCTGAGATGGCTCAGCAGTTAAAGATAATTGTTGCTCTTCTAGAAGACCCAAATTTGATTCCCAGAACCCTGATGCTGCTCAAAATGATCTGTAACTCTAGATCCAGTGGACTGAATGATGCTTTCTGGATCTCCCCCTCCCACAACCAGGCACATAAGTGGTGCACAGACATACATGCAGGCAAATCATTTATATACATAAAATAAAATTTAAAAATTCTGACAATTAGTAAGCAATATTTGTATTTAAAGTTTACAAAGCAAAATACGAACCATAGACATAATTTAGGCTACACAAATTTGAGTTTCTCACCTACGCATGTCCTTGTCCAGGCCCTGGGGATAAGGTTCCTGGCATTCGGTGACCAAACCTGCAGGGCCAGAATTAGGAATAGACTAGTAACTTGCTAGCCTTTGAGCAATTTAAGGGCTTCAAGAAGAATTCATCAACCATCATTAACAATATTTAATATTGCTTTTTTTAAGAGTTGCAATTGGAATACGGAAATCCCTAATGAAACATTCAAATAATAGGTGAAGGCAAAGTCAGAGGCTATGAGCCAGTCATCATGGCAAGGAAGTGTGGAAATGCACCTTTAAAATATGCTGGGTGACTGGGCAGGGATGGCGCATGTCTTTAATCCCAGCCCAGGCAGAGGCAGGCAGAGATCTCTGTGAGTCAAGGCCAGCCTCTTCTGCAAAGAAGTGAATTCTGGGACAGCTAGGACTGTTACAGAGAGAAACCTTGTCTCCAACAAACAAGCAAAAATGATTAGCACAGTGAACAGAGGTGTCTGGTGTTCTAAGAACCCAAAGCAGGAGATTTCGTAAGTTTGGGGAAGTTTCTTAGGAGCTGCTGTGAAATGAAGGAAGAAGGAGTTTAGAAGCCAGAATCTCCCTGATGGTAGACCAAAACCCGTAGTTAAACAAGGGTGAGAGCAGAAATAGGGAATGTGGAGAAGGGGTTCAGCCTGAGAGTCGGAGCCGTCGTGGTACTTCCTTCTCCATCCCAATGGCGGTGGGAATAGGATGCGAAGAAAGATTTGGGATAACTGGATACAGTGGCCTCTGCCTGCAATTCCTGTGTGTGGGAGGTAGCAGCAGGAAGAGTATAAAGTCAATGTTCAGTCTCATCCCATAGAATGAGCTTGAGGTTTCGCCTCAGAAAAGTAACAGCACAAATAGGAAAAGAATGTGGGGAGGGCAGTGAGATCATAAATAACAACAACATATAATGGCACATATTGTGTGGAAATGATGCAGTGGAATACCACTTTGTATACTAACTTAGAAAAGAAGATATACATTATCTACAAATACGAATCAACCTTAAAATTCCAAAATATTTATCGATAATGCTTAGTTTCTCTCTTTTCAAAGCACTCTCATTAGAATTTCCTCTACATTTTGAAATGATGATCCTGACCCACCAAAACCTCATGTCTAGAGACTCTGTCTAGACTAAAATCAGAACCCTAGTTTTATGAATACAGTCTGATGCCTTGTGGTGGTCTTATGTACCACTTTACGTTACTTTCCGATCTTTCACAAACCTCCTTGAATTTTTCCTTAAAAGTCTGTTTTATTGTTGGCAGTTATTTATCACACCCTTTCCAAACTTATTTGATCTTCATGGCAA